TTTAATGCCTCCAAATTCTCTTTCAGCTCATATTTTTAGGATATTCAGATGAGTTAACTAATGACAAATTATTAAATATAAATTAAGTATTTAGCTCACTGAATATTTCATTAGACCATTTGGCCAATAGCATCATCTTTTGTAAGTATTTGGAATTATAGCATTTAGAGTTGGAATAAGCTTTTAGAAATAATATGATTCAGTGGTTTCTGAACATGGCTGGTCATCACGATCACCCAGGAGCATGTTGAAGATACAGATTCCTGTGGCACAACACAAATAAATCCAAATAACTTAGAAGCCCCGCGTGAAGGATCTAGAACTTGTGCTTTTAATGATTTCTCGGGTGATTACGTGATGTAGTCAGCTTGGCACCAATATTTGAACAATCTTTGGAGGCCACTGTACATGTCACTCCTCTGCCATATGCAAGACTCTCTGTGTTGGTATTATCCCCCGAAGAGCTTTACTAGTTCCCTCATGGCTTGAAACTTGTTAAGGCATTCACTCCTTACTTGTTCTGGCATGGAGACAAAATTTGCCTACCTGTTCCTTTCACCCATTATCCTTACAGAGTCCTGCCATTTGGAATTACACAGAATGAATCTAATGCTGCTTCACATGTTTAACACCAGGTGTGTGTTTCTCTTCTATAGGCCCAGTATTTTACTTCTTTAATTAATTATATTATGGATTCAAGTTCTTGTACCATTATCTTCATTCACTGTTGGATATGACCCAGTTTGTTTATGCTCCTTCTAAAATCTGGTGAGCAAAGCTGACCTCAACATCGTGCAATATAATCAGTGAAGAGAGGGATGAGGTTATAATTTCCCTTTTCCTGAACTATACTTGTGTTAATGTATTCCAAGATAACAGAAGTGATTTAGACTGCTCTATTACATTATTGGCTAATATTGAGTTAATTAAATCCTGAAGTTTTTTTCACATGTTCTACTCTTCAGCCATATTAGTTCTATACTGAACTTCTGCATTTGGACATTTGAAGATTTTTAAAAAATTAACTAAATACCAGTATTCATAGTTAAATTTGTAATATTTCTTCATGTTATATTTGACCTAAAGTTTTCCTAGGTCAATATTATTTTGGATCCTCATCCTTTCAACCAGCTCTGGCTCTTCATTCCTACTTCATATCATCACAAATTTCATACACATGCCATTAATAAATCTTCCAAGTCACTGAGAGGGCCAAAGTCAGGCCTCTATTTAGGGTGAACTATCAATTGCAAGGAATAATTATTTTGTAAGGATTAAAGTAAAAATAAAATGAGTTTAACTTAAGCATAATCTAGATCATGTTTGTACTTCACAGTAGTATTTAGAGTTGTTGAACTATATTTCTAAACATATGGACTTTAAAATGATTTAATTTCCTCTACCTGGAGTTGATGAGTCTTATTACTATTTCATTTTACCTAGTCTGAGTTGATCTGTCTTGCATAATTAAATTCACTTCCTCCCTTCCCCCATGGGTTTTAGCTTAAATTCTCATAAGTTCCCGTAGGAAGTAGGAACCAAGGTTCATTGCACTTGCTTTTTGATTCTTCTTTTTCTGGTCCTTCTTAAGGTAAAGAGTGTTTGTGACACTAACAACTTTAAAAGGTGGTTTTAAGTCTCTTTTTTTTGGTTAAAGAATAAGCTAATATTAGGAATAATCACATAATTTTAGGTAAGACTAAATATACAGCCTTTAATCAAAATAAAAAAGCTTTCTACTTTGTGGCATTCAAAGATATAACTTTCACAAAGTTAGTTTTAGAACTCCAGTAGAAATCTGAAGCTACCATTCCTAATCCCAACTTGTCTCTATCCTAGCTTGGATTCCTTTTGCTATTTTTCTAGTTTCCACCATCATCATCTCTAAGTAGTCTTCTGCAATAGCTTCCCAAGTTAATTCTCTTTTTCAGTCTTCAAAAATCAAATATGGAGAATATAAAAAAAGATAAGAAAACTTTGAAATCAATGTCACAAATAATTATACCATTTTACAGTAAAGTATACAATTATTATTTAATAATGTTACAATAAAATTAGCATCTGAGAGTTACTCTTATAGCAGAGAAATTGTGAAATAGCCCCTTCTCCTTTTTTTCAGGCAAACAAAAGGTGAAATAATGGAATGTCTTAATACTTTAAAATTATTCAAAATCCATAAATCAGCTCAATGAAATGTAAATTTCAGCTCCATTTGTTTATAGTGTATGATCCCTTTTTTCAGCACTCCAGCTGGCTCCTTTGAGATATCTAGCTCTAGAAGTTTATTTTGAGGAGGCAGAGTACTTTCCCATCCCTCAGGGCAATGGTTGCCATTCCTAGCGAATTGTCAGAATTACTTGGGAAGCTTTTTTTTCATATACAGATTTCAACATCTCACCTGAGAACTATTGAATCTGATAAACTGTGGTCAGGCTGGGAATTTATGAATTTAAAAACTCTCCAGGTGATTCTGATGCTCAGCCAAGGTTGTGAAACCACAGCCGTAGGAAACTTTGGTAAATGGGTAAAAGAAATTTGAATGCCATTGAGAGGAAGTATGCACCCTAAATATAAAATTTTACAGTTGCTACCAGTAGAAGACATGTAAATGAAGTCTATGAGAATGGATTCAGAGACTGAACATGCAAACCTATCTCTAATGGATTTTTTTTTAAGTAATGTAACCCCAGTGATTGTCATTATATTGACTGTGAAAAGTGAGGTTAAAATTTAGCATAGTTTTGAGCAGATACTTCCAAAGAACTACTTCCGTGATAACACCCTAGACCTTGTTATGTCATAATATTGCATCACTCCCAAATCACTAACTCAAACATCCTGCTCTCCGTCCATAACCTCCTGTATGTTAAGCTTACTTATTTAACTACTCACTCTTGATCTTTGTTTGACCACAATAGGACCTTCTATCGTCCTCCTGCCTCCCCCTCCTAATCTGTCTGCCCACTCTTTTTCAGTTCCTTAATCAGTGTAGAGAATATAAACCAGAAATTTAATAGTACTCCTGCGAATAATACAAGCTCCTTTGCCTCTCTGTTTTCTTATTACAGTGTTTAGAAAGCCCGAAACCTGGATCAGCCCTATGTTCCACTTTCTCTGTACCTTCTTCTTTTTCAACTGCAGGTTGCAGTGGTGGATAAACTCAGGATAACCGATTTCAAATGGGTCTTCCACCTTACATGGCAACCTTACAATATTTTTCTTCTGGATAATTCACCTTCTCAGTGATTACTTTGTATCTTCTTTATACTCCTCTTCCTTCCAATCATATTGACCCTTTCCTGCTTTCTCTCCTCACTCTTAAAAGATGAGCTTGTGTCTTTCCTCACCAAGAAGCCATCAGAGAGATATTCTCTCAATTTCCTGCTACCAATTCTGTGAAACTCCACCTGCACTAATCTTTTCCTTCCTCCCTCCGGTCTCTACTTCTATATAAGGTCAATCTTTTCACCTGCGTCTGGGATCCTACTCTTATCTGATTTTTCATAAACACTGTACTACCAAAAAATTCCTCTCTCTTTCCTGCATATTCAATGCTTCCTAACATTCGATCATTCCCAGTGACATTTAAACATGCTAAAAAAATGCTTTTATCTTTTTTTCAACCCTCATACTCAGACGCCCTTCTAGCTAACCTCACTTTCAACCTTTTTCCTCCCTTTCAGAGCCAAATGCTTTAACCTTTTAACAGACTTATAGATTCCATGTTCTTTTCAACACCTTTTACTAAAATTCAATCTACTTTAATGTGGCCTCTGCCTCTTTCACTCAGATTAACGATCACCTCCATATTGCCAAACTCAATGGACATTTTTCACATCTTGGTAGAATTTGACATTGTTAACCACGCTTTTCTTCTTGAAACAGTTTGTTCTGCTGGCTTCCCTGGATACTATTATCTACTGGTTTTCTACCTAGCTTTCTGCCCATTCTTCCTTTCTATAATTTAAAAAAGAATTTTTTAATTTTTTTGCAGATTCATTCTCCTCTACATGTTAATAAAACATGAGAGTTTCTCAAGACTCAAACCTAGTCTCTCTTCATGTTCTATTTTAATTCTCCACAGGCAAATGCATCTATTACCAAGTATATATATGTGACTTAAAAAATTCTAAATCTAGCTCACACTTCTCTTCTAAGCCTAAGACCACATATATCTTATTTCACATCTCCACATAGCTCAGTCTCAGTATGTCAAACACCAAACTCCCTCCAAAGTTTGCTTGTTCTTGCCAATGTTTCCAATCTCATTGAATAGTAACACAATGCATCCAGTTGCATAACTTTAAAATCTCAGATTCACCCATGATAATGCATTCTTTTGCACTCCAATATTTAATCCATCTTCTAGATCTGTCTATTCTTTATTCTAAATATGTTTTCTATCCATTCACACTTTCCGTATCTGCTGCCACCATATTCTAAGCTACCATCATCTCTAACCTGAAATAATGGACTAGTCTTTTAATTAATTTCTCTTCAATGCTGTGTCTCACCCATTCTAATCCATTGTTAACAACATACTGAGTGATCTCTTCAAAATGAAATTCCCGTCTTGTTCTTCTCAGCTAAGATGTTTCTCACTGTTACTGAAATAGTACTAATAATTTTAAAAGAATGTTGCCATCCCCCTCATTTTTACCAATCCCTCAAACTTTAAAATCTTCAAAGACTGCACTGTTTTCAAGGTAAAAACCAAAATCCTTAACATCCTTGAAATCTTTGGTCTACAAAAATCTGAATTGTCTTGCCCATGCCCATCTTTCTAGCCTCACTTTTTACCACTTTCCTCCTAGCTTTCTCTGTGTTCCTAAGTCATGCCACAGGGCTGTAATCTTCTTTGGAATGGAGAAATGATTAAGGTCCCTACAGACTATGTAAAGACAGAAGGATAGAGAGCTGATGTAACAGTAAGTAGAATAGTAAAGATTGATGGCCCTGCCAAGTGAAAGTAAACTGTTTCTGGTGGTTTGTACTAACAGGTAAAGAGAAAAATATTTTCTGGATCAACAGCTGCATAGCAGATAGACGGGGCTGTGTTAATTGGCACCACCAACTGGAGTCATCGTCTCATTAAGTTAATGATAAGCCGGTATCATTTTCATGATCATCTCTCTCCTGCATAGGCTAACAGGTCTAACAGGTGAGTTGAATGAAGATATTGTAGAAATCATGAGCTCTGAATTCTTCAGGTCTTTGATGGTTGTATTTATCTCTGCAATTTCTCCAGGAAAGTGAGATTGCTTTCTATTTGCTCTTTTGGTAAGCAGCGGCAGTTCTAGGAATTTCCATTAGTCAGTTTCTCTGACTTTCCTGCCAGAATAGCCCTCAAAACTCCAATTAGGGAAACAATATTTGGATTCTTCCAGTTGTTGAGTATGCATATTACAACTATGCATTCAAGAATTGGAAAATATCTATGAAAAATGTTCAGAGACCACATGGGCTCACTTTGATATGGACCTGAGTCAAAAGTCCACTCATCATTCATCTATATCAGTCAAAGGGACAACCTTAATAAATTAGCCAATACCAAGGACATCTGTGGGTCAACCATTGTTACCACTGCTTTGGCATTGATATTAATTAAAATAACCATCTATTCTCTGTCAAATAAGTGCTACCATTTGGCTCTTAGCACTTCAGAATTCAGTCATCCCCATTGAATTCAAAGGGGTCTTTTTAATGGCAGAATTTACAACTGTCATTTCTGGCCTTCAAAGAAAATCTAGTAGAGAGGACTTAAAAAATGCTGGAATCCAGGGGCTGGCCCCATGGCCGAGTGGTTAAGTTCGCGCGCTCCACTGCAGGCGGCCCAGTGTTTCGTTGGTTCGAATCCTGGGCGTGGACATGGCACTGCTCATCAAGCCACGCTGAGGCAGCGTCCCACATGCCACAACTAGAAGGACCCACAATGAAGAATATACAACTATGTACTGGGGGGCTTTGGGGAGAAAAAGGAAAAAATAAAATCTTTAAAAAAAAAAAATTGCTGGAATCCATCTCACCAAGGTATTTCTCAAACTCTTGGAAACATAGAAGCCTCTGGATTCCCCCAGAGGACGTAATTACATGACACATGAATAGCTTGTACATAATCCATTTCACAATTCTAATTTCCTTTAGTGTCTCAATAATAAGAAAAACATATATTTACCCATGTAGTTACCATTTCTGATGCTCTTCGTTACTTTGTATAAGTTAATATTTCCATTTGGTATTTTCCTTCTGCCAAAAGAATTTCCTTTAATATTTCTTATAGTGAAAGCCTGCTGGTGATAAATTTTTTCAGCTTTTGTATGTCTGAAAAAGTCTTTATTTTTCAAAGATATTTTCACTGGGTATAGAATTCTAGATTGACAGTATTACAAAAATGTTGCTGTGCTGTCTTTTTGTTCGCCTTATTTCTAACTATAAATATGCTGTCATCCTTACCATGATGTCTCTGTATATAAGATGTCTGTCTCTGACTGCTTCTAAGATTTTCTCTTTATAAATTTTTTTGAGCAATTTGATTATGAGGTAACTTGGTGCAATTTTTTTTTTCATTTTGCTTGTGCTTGGGATTCACTGAGATTCTCTGATCTGTGCATTGTGTTTCTCATCAAATTAGTAAACGTAAACGTTTTGGCCATTATTTTTTCAAATTTTTTTCTGTCTTTTCTTCTCCTCTTTGAGGACTCAAATTACATGTATATTAGGTTACTTGAAATTATCCCACACTTCAAAGATGCTCTGCCATTTTTTTTCTTCTCTTTGTGTTTAACGTATAGTTTTTATTGCCATGTCTTCATATTTATTAATCTTTTCTTCTGCAATGTCTAATCCACTGTTAATCTTATCCACTGTATTTTTCATTTCAGATACTGTAGTTTTCACTTCCAGAAGTTCAACTTGCATCTTTTTTTATACCTTTCATGCCTTTACTTATCTTTTAGAACATACGAAATAGGGCTATACTTACTGTTTTACTGTTCTTGACATCTGTATCAGTTCTGGGTTGGTTTCCATTGATTGATTTATTTCCTCATTATGGACTATATTTTCTTGCTTTTTGCATAGCTGGTAATTTTTTATTATATGCTAGACATTATGAATTTTACCTTTCTGGGTGCTGGATATTTTTGTACTTCTATAAATATTCTTGGGCTTTATTCTTGAGTGCAATTACCCTACTTAAAAACTGTTTGATCCTTCTTTGTCTTATTTTTAAGATTTTTTTAGATGGGACCAGAGCAGTGCTCAATCTAGGGTGAGTTATTCTCACTACAGAGTCAAAACCCTCTAGTACTCTATATAATGCCCCATCAATCTTGAGGTTTTCCAGTCAAGTTTGCAAGAACAGGCACTGTTCCTGCCCTTTTGTGAACAGTAGACACTGTGACAAACAGTTATTTTGAGTGGTTTTCCTCTGGCCACAGATATTTGCGTATATTGATTGACACTCAGCTGAATACTCAAGGGGACCCTCTACAGATCTCCAGAGTTCTCTTTTTATACAGTTGTCTCTTCTTTGTATCTCTGTCCTGTGAACTTTACATTCCTTGGTCCTGTAGTCTCCACAGACTCAATATTGTCTCCCCAACTCATGGAGTTCACTGCGCCCCATATCACAGGGATCACTGTCCTTTGTTCTCTGATGTCCAATGTCTTTCAAATCATTATTTTATATATTTTATCCATTTTTCAATAGTTACATATGGGAGGGTAAATCTAGTTCCTGTTCTTCTCTCTTTGCTGGAAGCAGAAATTTCCTTAGTGTTTAGATACCTTCCTCTGTATTAGACCAAGGAAGTTCTGGCATCTCAGTTTTACTCAGCATAGGTCACCATGAGTCTAGGTTTAAGTCAATCAATGGAGTAAACTCTGAGCAATTCCCAGTTGCTTAAGCAAATACATCAAATTCATAACCTCTTGTTAGTGCACCCAATGTAAATCTGACAAAATATTACATTATATTTCTTCCATCCTGATCCAACACTGTTAGGAACCACTCCCATTTTTATTTCCTAGGTTTATGTGGATATAAATTGGAAAAATTTTGAACTTCTTTTCACACATATGATACCTTCTCCCAGATCACACGTGTACCCAGGTCCTGGGAACTGATAGAATTTTAAAATGGTTATAGGTCTAGAAGAAATGAGAGCTGGTGGAGGTTGGTCTTGGTGAAGATCGGCATTAATAATTTCTCTGGGAAGTTCATTAAAGCTTCTTCAAAACAAATATTTCTCATTGCACTGTAACTCAATTACTCTTAGAATTTGACTTTCGGTTTGTTTTTTGGAAATTTTGACTCTTTGGCTATAGGAAATAGTTTTTCTTGGTGGCATTAAAAATTTTTTTCTTGTTCCTTATACTAAGCTTAAATTGAGAATTTAAAGCTTTGTGCTTATCATTTTCTTTCTCCAAGTTCTTCAATGCATTTAGAATCAATCGATGGATCATATAGTCCTTAGGGTCTCTTCATTTCCATTAAAAATAGCTCTATAGGCTGGTGCAAAAATGAAAAATATATTTCTTTCCTCCAAAATTGCATGAGGCACATGTTATGTTTGTTCACAGATCTCCTAACCTTGGAGTTGTTCAGCTTTGTCCAGTGTATGCTAAGTAGCTGGAGTTTGCAGCAAAGTTACCCAGGTATTTTCTTATGGACAGTTACTATCATGCTCCAATGGTAAAGCCATCTAAGAATATGCATTTGAAAATCATGATAGTAACTCTTGCCTGGGATTGAAAAGCTAAATTCCATAAGATTTTTGGACTATAAAGTTAATTTCTTGAGTTATAATATTTTAGTCTAGTTTAGTTTAGGTAAAGTTGGTTTAGCTTTTGGTCTTGCTTATGTAATTAAAAGTTCTTTATTCACAATAATGATTTTGTCTTTTGAGTTTTCTAGAAACAGAACTATAAGTTCCAGCTTGACCCCGACTCAAGAACATTCTGTAAACCTTGCTAGTGAATGCCAGCCTTAGTAGGAAAAGTGCATTAGTTGGTTAACACTACATTAATGCTATGTAACAATCCATCCTAAAATTCAATGCCATGTTAACCAGTATTTTTTCTCATGCTTATGCTTCTGCAGGTTGAGTGTAGTTTGGCTGATCTAGGAAGGGCTCAGCTGGGTGGCTCTGCTTTGGAAGGAGTCAGCTGGGCTTGGCTCCAGGCTATGGGACGGATTCCAGCCAACTCCCCATGTTTTTATTCTAGGGCCCAGTCTGAAGTCTGTGGCTACACAGGGTGTGCTTTTTTCATGACAGATTGTTGAAGTACAAGAGCACTTAAATATGCACTGCAGAAGCATATTTAAGGTTTTGGCTTGTGTCAGATGTGCTAAAGTTTCATTGACCAAAGCAAGTCCCTTGGCCAAGCCCAACATCAATGGGGTGTAAGGGGATGTAAAGTCACCTACAGTAGGAGGGTACTGAATATTTGTTAAATTACTCTGCATCAAATAATTCCACTTGTAGGAATGTATCCTAGAGAAATGTGTGCAAAAGTTACTAATCCCTCCATTTGTAGTAAGATTAAAACAAACCAATAAAATACCTAAATATCCAACAATAAGGGACTGTTAAGTAAAGTAGGATGTATCCGAGGAATATTACAGACATCTGCAAAAAATAATTGTAAAAATACTTATGAAATATTGAGAAGTCAAAAAAGCTACATGACAAAGAAAGAAAAAAATGTCAGTTATAAAACCAAATTTCCCAGTGGCTGCTTCAGCATTTTAGAAGAATGACAAAATTCTTCTTAGGGAAAAGCTGCTCTTTTGTTTAGGAAAGGTCAGTGAAGGGGTCCTCTGGCTCTGAAAAGGAAGGCCATGGGGCAGCCTAGATAGGGAGAGGTTTAGAAATATCAGGAGCCAAATTGCTCAGGATAATAATGCAACAAGTATTTTCTGTTTTTGCACTGACAGCCTAAAAGACAGAAGGTTAGAGCACTTATCAAGAAGAGAAAAGAAACAAAAGTATATAAAAAACAGTATAAAAAAACAATATAGTAGCATGTCAGGGACTAAGGAAAACTTGCTCTTGTAATGACAGTGAACATCTCATTTCATAAGAATACTTGATCTTAATGTTTAACTTTACATCGTACATATTTATATTGCATATAAATATATGTAACGAGAAGAGA